TGGTGTCCCAGCAGATGGTAGGGCCTGGTAGGGGAACACATGGCCATGGCCGCCATGGCACTGAAATTTCCGAGAATTCGCTGGTTTGGTTTGATTTAGCATACTGAAACGAATGGGATCATCGATGGCTCCTTGTTTTGGTCACAAGGTTTGATCGAGCCAAGTAGCCAGACCCATTCTTTGATACCATTGGTTGCTCTGGCGTCAGTAGTACTTTGTAATGACTAAGGACCAACTCTGAAAATGGTTCCGAAGCTCTCGAAGCCTTCGATGCCGAAGTTCTCGACGAGGAGGACGATGTGGCTTTGGGATGCATTTCCTTGGACCTTCACAAAACATGCGCTCTAGTGACTCTAGTGGTTATTTAGGGCTATACCGGCTATACCACAATATTGGGACATATCCGTGACATACCGTGACATACCTGTGTAGGGATCATTGAAGTCCTGGACAGAAAGGACCTTTTAAGATCTTTGAAGTGCGAATTGCGTTGTTCCGATTTTGCCACTGCCTTGTCTCCAGCCATCGTTGAAAGTTGTGGCCCTACGCATCGACAAATCAACGGGCTGATAGCAGGAGTCAGAAAAGGCCAACTCGAAGGACGACCTGATTCGAAGCTTGTCGACTAGGGATGGTGAATGCGAACGGAAGGATCCTTTTATATATATATATATACCATGTATATATATATACAATGAATGGAAACTGCCAAGGAATATCCAATCTATTTATATTTATATCATTTTATATCTATTTGTGGATTCTTCTCATTCAAATTGACCAAAACATACAGTCAAAGATGACTCATCCTCTGGCGACTAGTTGTGCCAGCCTCAAAAAAGGGTGTGGTTAGGTTAGATGACAAACCCGAGTGGTAAGGGGTTCGGAAGCATAGTTGGCAAGTCGCTGATTCCTGGGTTTCCTCTTCCATGGGTGGATTTCCCACTGTTACTACCTTACTTGCTTTTGTCTGAAAATAGAGTGTCCCTGAAGTCCATTGATCTATCATGGTTTTCCCACATAGATTTCCATTTTGGGGGTATACTCCATTGTCACATCCACATGGGGATCACCCAAGTGCTAAGGACTGTGGGATGAGCAGCACAAAGCCCTCGGAAATCCACTCTTCTCGAGGGAGATCTCGCGCGAGGTGGGGGTATTCTTGAGGCTTGCTAGAGCCACCATGAAGATCATAGTGATTATATGACCCATCATTCCGCGTTTTGCATCGTTTACATTGCCAAGACTCATGAAACTTGGATCCAACCTCAAGGTCGCAACGTTGCGGCTGGGGCGGTTGGAAAGGTGGACCAACTAACCCCTTGATTTCCGTCCAACATTCCAACATCACACGGGACTTCACCACCGGGGCAATATATGGCATTATATGGCAATACTGGTCGCCGAATGCTATTTATACTGTACGTGTATATATATATATATGATTCTATATGTATACACACTAGATCACACTAGTATCATTGGGTAGCATACAAATGCATCTAATTCCAAAAACAATGTATAATATATATATATATATAAACATACACAGTATTTAAGCGCTTACGCGCGACAGCCGGCCAGGGGCCCATGTTGAGGTGATAGGGGTCGAGCAGGGAGCAAGAGCTAGAGGCTATGTTGCCCCATCGGGAGGCTATGTAGGTCCAGCTTGGGGCTATCGGGGGGTAGCTTGGGACTAGGTGGGCGGCCGTTGCAGGGGTCTTTGGGGCGGCATGGGTTGTGGCTGGCGTTGTGGTTATTGCTGTGGAGGTCGTCGTTGTTGTTGTTGTTGTTGCTGTTGCTGCTGTTGTTGTTGTGGTTGTGGTTGTGGTTGTGGTTGTTGTGGTTGTTGTGGTTGTTGTTGTTGTGGTTGTGGTTGTGGTTGTGGTTGTGGTTGTTGGTTGTTGGTTGTGTTGTGTTGTGTTGTTGTTGTTGTTGTGTTGTTGTTGTTTGTTGTTGTTGTTGTTGTTGTTTGTTGTTGTTTGTTGTGTTTGTTGTTGTGTTGTTGTTGTTTGTTGTTGTTTGTGTGTTTGTTTGTTGTTGTTTTGTTGTTTGTGTGTTGTGTTGTTGTGGTTGTTGTTTGTTGTTGTTGTTGTTTGTTGTTGTTGTTGTTGTTGTTGTTGTTGTTGTTGTTGTTGTTGTTGTTGTTGTTGTTGTTGTGTTGTTGTGTTGTTGTTGTTGTTGTTGTTGTTGTTGTTGTTGTTGTTGTTGTTGTTGTTGTTGTTGTTGTTGTTGTTGGTGTGTGTTGTGTGTTTGTGTGTTGTTTGTGTTGGTGTTTTTTTGTTGTTGGTTGCTGTGGTGGTTGTGTGTTGTTGTTGTTGTTGTTGTTTTGTTTTTTGTTGTTGTGTGTGATGTTGTTGTGTTGTGTTTGTGGTTGTTGGGTTGGTTGTTTTGTTTGTTGTGTGTTGTTTGGGTGTTGTGTGTTTGTTGCGTGTTGTCGGTTTTTTGTTGTTCTGGTTGTTGTGTGTGGTTTGTGGTTTGTGGTTTGGGGTTTCTGGTTTGTGGTTCGTGGTTTGTTGTGAACGGCTTGGGGCTATATGTTTTTTTTGGGCTATGTTGGCCTATCTTGAGGGCAATTTGGGCTCATCTTAGGGCTATGTTGGCCCATCTTGGGGCTATGTTGGCCCATCTTGGCCCATCTTGGAGCTATGTTGGCCCATCTTGCGGCCTATGTTCGCCCATGTTGACCCATCTTAGGCCACAAGAGTCGAAAAATACACAGGGTGGGGGGGGTGTTCGGCGGGAGGGGCGGCGGCCCCTCTCTCCTTCGGAAAGGAGAGAATTGCCGTACGGCAAGGACACGGCCAGCTCGGGCTCCGCCCCCTGCCGCCGACCCCTGGCCAGTGGGCTGGAACCTTGACATGATTTTTTGTCAACAAAACAATAGGAATTTGGGCCGCATTGACTGGCTCATTAACCAACTTGCGACTTCAAGCCCCACCGTCGCGCAGGGCCAAAACACCATGGCAGTGAAGGATTGATCGAGCCCGCGGGGGCAGCCCAGACTGCCAAACGTTGCCTTCTGAACTGTGTAGAAACTAGGTTCAAACCTTCAATCCGCTTGCCTTCCTGCACTGCCAGCTACCAACTTGCTTGCGTCCGTCCGGCAGGGCCAAAGCACCATGGCAGGGAAGGACGGGCCTGCGGCCGGCAGCCCATTTACTGCCAAATTTTGCTTTCTGAACGAACAAGAAGCAAGGTCCAAAATGCAGCTGCCAGGCCTGCAAAACGGACGTCCCGCCACACTAAAACAGCATGCCAGCGAAGGACGGAAGGTGCTGGCCGCCGGCACGTGGCACTGCCTAACGTTGCTTTCTGAACGAACAAGAAGGAAGGTCCAAAATGCAGCTGCCAGGCCTGCAAAACGGACGTCCCGCCACATTAAAAACAGGGCGCCAGCGAAGCGAAGGACGGAAGGTGCTGGCCGCCGGCACGTGGCACTGCCTAACGTTGCTTTCTGAACGAACAAGAAGCAAGGTCCGAAATGACAGTTGCTGCTTGTAATCTCTTCTCTGACGCGCTCCCCCTTGCCGTCGGCTGGGGTCGGCGGATATACACACATGTACATGTACATGTAAACGGACCTACGATTCCACAAAGAGACAAGTATCTGTGTGTGTATTGACACATATATCTATATACAGACCCATCAACATCAACAAAAATAATAAACTACAGAAAATTGCTCATGTGTTGGCGCTTCTTCAGAACATTGCGAGGAAGTGGCTCAAAAACGACGAACCTGTGCTGTGCTGCTGGGGACCTTCATCGATGCAACTTGGCAGCGCCAGAGGTTGGTAAATGGTCAGTGAATGGTTTGATTCATTGGAGTTTGATGGAAATACAAGCGACATTGACCTCTCTATTTTCTTGGGGGCTCAAGGTTTTTTCTTGAAGGTATCTCAGGTGTACAGCAACAATTGTGTTTTTTCACTTAAGAAATCCTTCAGTTTTGGGCCCAAACCAATGCGGCATGTGTGGCCCTTAAATCGGGTGCCATCTGTGTTGTTGTTCCAAGAAGACTTTGGTCATCGGAAATAGGATTTTGGTTGTTAGAACTTGACCAAAAAGGAAGCAAGGACTTCCGGGCAAAATCCAAGTGACCTAAATCATTGCTTTTGGGGTGTAGCCACTAGTGATCAATACCGAATTTTTTGAAACTTCTTGGATCACGTCATGGAGCCTGGCACAATCGCGACTCAGCAGACTGCCGCGGCATTTGTGGCTATTGTGGTTTCCAAGGGGCCCAAATTGATGCTTGGCTTTTTGTGTTGATGGTGGTGAACATACCAATTTGTTTGGTAAAAAAATAATATAATATCTCCAACTGGCTGTTTGCATTGATGGTAAAATTTGGATTTCTTGGATTCCCCAAAATTGGATTCCGAGGCAAAAGACATCCTCATCGGTAGGGTGCCTGGTGCGCGACAAGGCCTAACACTGGCGTTGGCGGCGGCTGTTTTGAATCAGGCAGGGCCGCCTGACACACTGGGCTAAAACTAAGAAATCAAAGAAATCCAAAACCAATGCATTTTGAGAATGTTTAACAGGGTTGCTGCCAACACCCCAGGTACATGGGGGGGTAAATTGGGTGAATATAGAGGTAAAATTTCACATTCTCCCTCCTTCTGGCTATCATGTACCGTAGGTTGGAGCACCCCTGTCTGAAGTGAGATTTCCCTAAGATACAAGGCATTTTAATCATGTCAATGGGGATAATCGTCATTTTCCCAACCCATCTATATTCCGATATTCCCATTTCTCATCCATTTTTTATCCATTATACCACATGGTCCTCTTCCAGCGCGACTTGTGCACCTTTTCATGGTGGACTGCGGTGACATTGCGAAGGCTTGTGCATCCACCAGCATCTTGATTTATGCACAGAAGCTCCTGCAAACTGCGGGCGTTCAGCGTCAGGTGCCACTGGGATGGGATGGGGACTTGCGGCCCTTGCGGCACCAGAGGCGATGTCGAATCCCAAAGATCTACCAGCAAACAAACATTACCAAACATTACCACAAACACAAAATTCCCAGTTGAAATTAGTTAAAATTCTATATAATTTTGAATATGTTGAAATATGTTGAAATATGTCGAAATTCAGAAATCACGTGCTGGGCCCAGCAGCTAATTATACCCAAAGGCCCCATGAAATCTCCCAATGAACTTCTGGGACTGGATCAGTTCTGAATGCTTCAAGCTGAGAATGACATACTCCATGGTGAAATGCCACTTGAAGGGGACTACAAGTTATGATACGCCATTTAGAAATGGAAGGGGCTCCTAAATTGATGTAGACCTGATTCCTACATGGTCGCAAGTCTTTTTGCAGACTTCATCACTTCTGTCTCAGCGCTCCCATGACAGACCGAACAAGATGCACAGAGCACCATCATCATCGCTGCAAAGCTCCTGGGGGTGAGGCTAAGCTGAATCGGGGCAAAGAACCCATGGGTCGGTCTGCCTTTTAGAATCCATCTAAATTTGCTTGGGTATGAAATTTCAACCTATATATATATATATCCGTCTATATACATATCATTTGGATTATCTTCTATGGGAAACAAGCCGGTACTAGAGAATCACCATTTGAATGGAACAAATCATCGATGATTTCAAGGATTTTCCAACCTTGTCCAACTAGCCATGTTGGATTGGAGGATTAACTCGGGAATTGATTCTGTTAGCCATGGGTTTCTCAGGGGTACCCCGGTCTCAGACACGCGCAGATATCGTGTATTGCTTAGACATATCATATCTCATTATATCTTATTTTCGTTTGTCAACTTTTCCCGTTGCAGGGATACTATTGAATATCACATTTGACATGATATCCCATGATAATCCCTGTGACCATGGTAACCTCGTGAAATATCCCATGACACACTCCATGATTTCCGAGTAATTATCCTTATACCAGTAGTACCGCACAAGGCGGTGGCGGAAGTTTCAAAAATAGGAAACCTATAGGAGAGGTTGGTTGTTGTGAATCAGAGATGGCAGAGCGAAGCCACTGATGGACCGAAAGGTGCTTGAGGTCTCCTCTCTTTCTCTCTCTTTCTCTGACTATCTACTTACCTACCAGCCTATCTTCTATGTATCTATCTATCTATCGATCTATCTATCTCTTTCATCTAATTACCTATCTACCTATCTACCTATCTACCTATCTACCTATCTACCTATCTACCTATCTATCTATCTATCTGTCTATCTATCTATCGATCTATCTATCTATCTATCGATCGATCTATCTATCTATCTCTCTATCTATCTATCTATCTGTCTGTCTGTCTGTCTGTCTATCTATCTATCTATCTCTCTATCTCTCTATGTATCTATCTATCTCTCCATGTATTGATCTATGTATCTATCGATGTATCTATCTATCTATCTATCTATCTGTCTGTCTGTCTGTCTGTCGATCTGTCTGTCTTTCTGTCTATCTGTCTAGCTATCTATCTATCTATCTCATCTACCCAGCTGGCCTCTCTCTCTCTCTCTCTTTCATCTAATTACCTATCTATCTATCTATCTACCTGTCTATCTATCTCTCCCTTTCATCTGTCTATCTGTCTAGCTGTCTACCTGTCTATCTGTGTTGCAGTGTCATTCAATGTAATGTAGTGTGGTGTAGTGTAATTTAATGTAGTGGAGTGTACTGGAGTGTAATGTAGTGTAATGTAGTGTACTGGAGTGTAGTGTAGTGTAATGTCCTGTAGTGTAGTGTATTGAAGCGAAGCGACATCCGAACCTCCAAAAGTGGTCCGAACCCCTGGTGTTTTTAACATTTTGACTTTGAAATGTCCTTCGCGCCACAACGGCGTGCACTTTTTCGACATCCGAACCTCCAAAAGTGGCGCAAACATGTGGTGTTTTGTACATTTTGACTTGGAAATGTGCTTCGCGCCACAACGGCGTGCACTTTTTCGACATCTGAACTTCCAAAAGTGGTCCGACAATGGTGTGTTTTGCGCATTTTGACTTGGAAATGTGCTTCGCGCCACAACGGCGTGCACTTTTTCGACATCTGAACTTCCAAAAGTGGTCCGACAATGGTGTGTTTTGTACATTTTGACTTGGAAATGTGCTTCGCGCCACAACAGCGTGCACTTTTTCGACATCGCAACTTCCAAAAGTGGTCCGAGAATGGTGTGTTTTGTACATTTTGACTTGGAAATGTGCTTCGCGCCACAACGGCGTGCACTTTTTTCATCACTCTCTGGCCAGCTGGCTCCGCAACCCGCCGCTTTAGCGAGCCTACTTTTCGACCCTCCGGAGCCCCAAATCATTGGAAAAACACAGTGTTTCGCGACTTTCCTAACCTTTCGCGCATCTGCATCTTCTTTCTTCTTACTCTTTCTCTTCTACTTTTCTTTCTTTTAATCTTTCTCTTCTCTCTGCCTCTTCCCTGCTCTGCTTTTCATCTTTCCATATTGTCGGAAGTTTGACTTCTAAACTTCCTTCGATAATATATATATATATTTACTAATATAC